ATCTTTATTTTATAATGATATTCTGAACACAAATCATATCTTGCTCTTTTTTTTTAATCCATTTAGCACTATAAGACAGGACAATAGTGCTTTCAAAGAGTAATTACATTTCCTGTTGATTTTAGATGGATGCCAGCCACTCAGTCTTTAATTTAGGATGTATTGTTCACATAGTTATTTCCTTTTTCCATATCAACATGATCTGTCCTAGTTTTTAAATAGGGCATTCTTTTCCACCAGTGAATATATAACTACATTCCAGTGAGATTTCAAGTTTTTGCAGCACAAGTGCTTGTCAAAACACTACAGCTCATCACTTTAACAGTCCTTTTACATGAGACTGCCTGAGAATAAATGAGAGGGAATTTTTCCTGGGTAAAAATGATAGATTTAATCTCAATCCATTAAAAATTCTCTTTATTTTCCATTCTCAGTTGATGCCTTTTGGTCTAAAGAGAGTAAGATGAAAATATTTTAAGTCCATCTTTCAGTTAAAAAATACTTTTAGGATGTGCTGTTCAGAAATAAATTCAAACTTTTTGCTAGGACTGTTTTGCTTGAAAATTTTTCATTAGAGAGATCGCAAGAGAGTAAGCAGTGAAGTCATAGCATGGGGGAAGGGTGAAATATTGCTTGATAATGTGGACTGGTCTTTCTCTTCTTTATGTTGACATCCTGGGACTTTTGTCCATTCATTGTTCTGTTTCTTCCTATCTTTGTATTTGTAATGGTATTCTGAATACAAATAATGTATGTATTTGATCTCCTTTTCTGACCAGTGTGAATGTGACTTTACAAATTAATGATACACATCTTATGTAGCTGCTTAAAAATAATTGGAAATGGAGGTTGGTCTAAGTTACATTTATGCAAAGAGTAAGTGATTCACCTTGCTCTGCTTAACAATGATACTGGTAAACTTGGGAGACTAGAAAGAAGTCACTTAATGTTGAGTGTTCAAATCCATTTCTAGTCAGTTGCTCTCAGGGAAACAAAATAGTAAAGAGATAACTATAAATTCAAGAGTGACCTTTTGTACTGTTGTGCTATTAAAACCTCAGTGTCTGGGCTGGCCCGGTGGCGCACTGCTACAGTGCACCGCTTGGGAGAACGGCGGCGCTCCCGCCGAGGGTTCGGATCCCACATATAGACCGGCCGCTCACTGGCTGAGCAAGGTGCGGGCGCAACACCAAGGGTTGCGATCCCGTTGCCGGTCCCGGTCTGGTACGGGCGCGACACTGAGGGTTGCGATCCATTGCCGGTCATGAAAAAAGACAAAAAGGAAAAAAAAAAAAAAACCTCAGTGTCACCACCATGTTCCAACAGAGACACACTGTATACAGTAAATCGAACATTTGCTTGTAAGGGGTTAAAGGAAGCATCTTCAAATTCAGATAGAACAAAAACTAACCTGGTTTGAAATGCATTCCATATGATGATACTTCAAAAAGTTCATGGAAAAATGGAGTTAAAAGGTAATATGAATCTTTCCATGAGCTTTCTGAAGTACCCTTGTTTGAAATACCTTGTTTGTATACCTCTGTTTGAAAGCACTCTCCTCTTACAAACACCATAGGCCAGACCTCAGCAGAATCAATACTTCTTTCATCTTTTATCTGAATGTTTATAAACTTTAAAACTCTGCAAAGTGTTAGCAATCTAATTATATTTATTTTAAAACGCAATTAAGAAAAAAAAAAGAAAAAGCCATTAATCTGGCATCATCAAGGAACAGGTTTCTTTGTTAGGAGGTAAAATTTCATACTACAGGGTACTGTTCTGATTAAAAAATTTGAAAAGTTGAATTTAGCCTTGCAAGTATGGACATATAACAGTCCTGAATCATATTTTTATGAGGTTTTACTCTTCTAAGCAAGTACACAGATTATAAGATTATTGACATCTCACTAACTTTTTAAATGGTGTCATAAAAGATTATTAATCTCTTGTTTCTTGTAATTACTATAATGGCAATGCAAACTTTTGTGTCATGTCAACACTCTCCCTATTTAACATTCAATGTGATGTCTTTGCTCTAACTGGAAACCACTTCAATTTAAATTCCACTTTGAAACACTATAAGTAGAGCATAGCAAAGAATATATGTTATCTGACCTTTGACATTAAATCACCTTAGAAATAAATGCAGCTATAAATCTTTTTGGCATATTTCTCTGCCTAGTAACTCTGTGAAACACCATCATTTCTCTCGTCAAGGTTGGATATCTCAGCATATTTTCAAAAACCAATTAATATTTGCCATCTCTGTTCTGCAACTTTAGTTCAACTTGCAGAATGGGATGAAAGGTCACGTGGCAAGTATTTCTACTAGTTCTCTGCATAAAAGACATATACAAAACATACCCCAAAGTCAGGTTTTACATTTAAGCATTGCATTGCATTGCACTGTCTGGTCAAGATATATGAGCTGTAAGGGTTTTCTGAAGTTGGGTCAATCAAAGAAATGCTTGCCAAGCACCTGTCCTCTGGGCCAGCCTGAACTGACTAGGAATGAGGGACGGAAGTGGACAGTGCCCTTGGGGAGCTCAAATCTAATGGAAGACTGAAGGTAAGCCATTGTAATTCAGTGTGGCAGGGGCTCTTGGTAGAGATATGTACTAAGTGCTATCAAGCTATATGTGGAGAATATTGCCTAGGAGATTTGGTTTTTGCTGGCCTTAAAGGTTGAAAGACTCCAGGCAGCCACTCCAGGAGAGGCACTTGAGGCAGGAAGAAACATGCACAGAGAACCTAGAGTACAAAGAATATGGTATGTTCTGGGACTAGAAAGCTATTCTGTGAGGCTGATATACTGGATTTTGAGGCAGATGGTTTCAGGGGGTGACACATGAGAAGTAGCCTGTGAATAGAGGGGCTGAATCTCCTTTATCTTTGTACCTTTAGTATACTTTGTGGCAAATACTAGGCTGTCAGAAAAAGTGCGTGGAATGAATTGGGCATAATACCTCACATACCGAAGGCTCCTAGCCATACCAAGAACCTAGTAGGTATCATGTAAATATTTATGAATGAATAATTATTTATTAAAAATAAGAAAATACCAAGTCTACAACCTCAGCAGGGGGGATTGTATTCTTCTAGATAAAACAGCTAAAATTACAAAGAGCTCCCTGAAATGACAATTTTTTACCCTGATGTCACAGGTTTCAAAAATACATTGTAGGTTTTATGTACAATTCCTAAAACTGACATCAATGATACCTCTGCACTTATGTAATTAGTATCTCTTCTGATGCACTAAAACCATGTATAAAACCAACAAAAATTTATGCCTGCTTCTTTCCTTTCATGGACTACGAATATCCTATTTTTCTTTCAAAGGACACATGAACTTGAAAGTTTCCGTTGGAAATAGATCCTAAGATCTTGCTTTAAATGGTTATAGATTCTAATTTGGCAAAAACAAAAATATCAACAATCAAATTGGTAATTTTCTGTTTTTTGAGTGCATTTTCTTAAAGACTGCCATTCAGGACAGATTTTTTGTTTTAGATCCTAAGTATCATTTGCATTAAAAAAAAAAACAAAAAAAGTGTGCATCCTAAACCAAGGTCAGTTAATCTCTGAAATCTTTCTGCCCCCAATTATTGTGGATAAACATCTTCTCAATATTCAAGTCATGATAACTTGTTTCCACCTACTAAAGTCACATCTCAGCTTCGAAGATTTTTCTTTTTCTTTTTTTTTTTTTTGGCTGTACAATGGAACTTGGATGCATTTTAAATTAGCTTTCTCTTGGAAACTTGTTTCCACCTACTAAAGTCACATCTCAGCTTCGAAGATTTTTCTTTTTCTTTTTTTTTTTTTTTGGCTGTACAATGGAACTTGGATGCATTTTAAATTAGCTTTCTCTTGGAATCAAAGGTAATTATTATTTCTCTTTATGATCTACATGAATATTCTCATTACTTTTTCTTCTTTTTAAGTTGAAGGTCAGTGTTGAATTCCCTTTATATTTCTGCCCTCTTTCAGAGTAACCTCTGAGGACCCAAGGTTGCACAAGGAGGATTGAGGAAATGTCTTCAGAGCTGTTCTTGCTAAGCTGACACAAAAACTTAGGAGAACATGACATGAATCACCAATCCCACTTTCTGTAAGTGTTGGTCCATTTATTGGTTATAACCTTGCACGTGCTCTCCTTTTCTCTGTTGGAGAATAGAGAAAACTGGACTGGGATTCTAACCCTGGCTCTGATACTTGAGGTAGCATAAGCTTCATCACCTCCTGGACTTCTGAGATGGTGGATAACTTGTATCCTATCCAATCCTCAATTTCCTCATGTGTAAAATGGAAACACTTTCCTTGATGGGATACCGTGGAGGAGGCATGGAATCCTGTATATGAAAGCCCTCCTTTGTAAGGGCTATGCCTAGTAGCATTGTTAGTCCCTCCTCATCTCTCTCTGTTTTATATATCTTTTATTTTAATTTGCTTTCCTTTCTCTCTCACTCTCCTTTTTCTTTTTTGTGGATAACTTTTTTTTTTTTTTAAACCATCAGAGTTCGAAGGAATCCTGTCTAGATTGCCAATGAAATCAGGCAACCTTTTCTCTAGGTACAAGACCTATTTTTGAGATGCATCACTGTGGTCTTTTGATGGGTCATTAATAGTCTTTCAACTTTCTGAAATTGACAGAGAAAGCTATTAGTCACTCAGCAAGGGTG